TCTGTCTGTCTATCCGTCTGTCTGTCTGTCTATCCGTGTCTGTCTATCCATCTGTCTGTCTTCCATCTGTCTGTCTATCCATCTATCTGTCTGTCTTCCATCTTTCTATCCATCTGTCTATCCATCTATATATTGGTCTGTCTGTCTATCTGTCTACTCATCTGTCCATCTCTCTGTCTTCTGTCTGCCTATCTGTCTGTCTTCAGTCTGTCTGTCTATCTGTATGTCTTCTTCTGTCTATCTGTCTGTCTGTATCTGTCTATTATAAGGTATTGGCTCATGTATTTATGGAGTTTGGTAAGTCCCAAGATCTGCAGAATTAATCAACAAGAGACCCAGGAGGGTCAATGGTTTAGTGCCAGTAAAAGCTGGAAGACCTAACAACCAGAAAAGCACTATAATGGCACAGTGGTACCATTATAGTGGTGCAATACCAGTCAGGGACCAGCTGTCTTGAGATCCAGGAAAATCCATTTCAATTTGAGCCTAAAGGCAGAAAAAAAAGGCCAATGTCCCAGTTCAAATGCAATCAGGCAGAAAGAATCTTGTTTTGGGGGAGGGAAATCATCATTTTTGTTCTATTCAGGACTTCGACTGATTGGATGAGGTCTGTGTTTGATAGAGGGCAATTTGCTTTGCTTAGTCTATTTATTGAAATATTAATCTAACCTAAAAAAAACTGCACCCAGAGGAATGTCCAGAATAATATTTGACCAAATATTTGGGCACCCCATGGCCCAATCAAGTTGAAACATAACATAAATTTATTACAGTGTATGTATTAAAAATGTGTGAAAGAACCTCACCAAAGGGGTAAGGTAAGAATGCTAATTCAAATAACTGAATATAAGTGGAGTTTGTAATACCAAAGGCAAAAGGAACTGCACAAATTATTGTAACCTAGTGGTCAAGTTGTTTCCAATGGTGGTATATGAGTTAACAATTCTGATACTGCTATTCATGTATATTGAAACTGAGCAATCAAGTAAACAGATCATGGATTGTGGAAGCTGTGTTTGTTAGTGTTGGAGTAGGAGGTTATACCAGTCAATTGGAGGCTAGAATGATGTTAGAGTTGAAGACATCAGAATGACATTATGATTAGCTCAATGTAGATGAACATTATCAACATATATTTATATGTATTTGTGCATACACAAACATATATTTAGTACACATATAATTCCTTGCTTTGTCATTTGAAAGGGCCTAGAAGCAAAGACACTCCAGTAGCAATAAAACATACCTAGTGTCCAACCTTATTTTCAAGGACTATTCACTAATGCAATAATCCAAGACTCTTTAGAGAAACAGCTAATTCTATGAGTATAGCAGGAATACTGAAGATGAGTCTGAAGCATTTCACAGTGCCAGAAAGTAAGGAAGTGATCAAAACAAATCATCAAAAACCACAACAATGGAGGTATGACAAAGGGATACTGGAGTTAAATGAAAAAAACTCCCAATGCCAAATTTGGAAACAATTTGAGTGAGTAAATCAATAAAAGTAATGTTGGATTATAACTCCAACTAAAAAAAAAAATCCCATGAGTCCATACAGCATTAATAAATGATTTAGTAAACAAATGGATAAAAATAGCCAATCTTTCCACACATAAGAGTCCTAAATAACTTATGTAAATACTCAGGTGGAACAAACTCCTTATTTGTTGGGTCTGGGTTGCACATAGTAGTAACTATGTGCCAAAAGACATGGCATGGAAAGATGACAGCAGAGAGATCTGACAAATACCACCTAGACAGGAACCCAAGCCAACATCATCAATGATAAGTCATGTTGGCAGCATGTACTCATGATATCATGTGATGAGAGGATCTTTATCCCTGTGGTCTTCCTCCCAAAACCACTTAACTCTGGTCTAAGAAAATTGTTGGACGAACACCGAGTGAAGGGCTTTCTATGGATCAAAAAGAAAGTCTGAGAAACTGTCACTGCCAAGAGGAAAGAAAACTCAACAACTAAGTGGCCTATGGTGCCCCCGAGCACGCCCAGCACCCCCAGGCCACCTCGGGGGCTGCCGGGGAGCCCCCCTGCTGACGCTCACAGCCCCCTCTGAGGAGACCCCCGCGGAGAAGAGAACCTGCTGCCTCCTCATGTGAGGGGCGCCCGGGCAATGGACCCCATCCACGCCGTGCCGGGGCAGCCAGCGCGTGCCTGCGCAAGCCGATAAAGGGCTCCCACCACAAAAAAGGGGGGGGGGCAAGTTAATGATAGTGTATGACAGTGTATGAATTAACAAGGTTCCTTGTTGTAACAAACACATCCTAGTAGAGTAAGTTGTAAGTAACACGAGCGACTAGGTGCTGAGTAAAAGGAACTCTATACCATGCTTGTAAATTTTCTGTATATCTTAAACCACTATTCAAAATAGTTTGCTTTTTAAAAATTCACTACAGGCAGCCCTCCTACCTGCCTGTGACTCTGATGACATTTCTTTTACACAACTTTCCCCTTTGCAAAGCCGCAGTGGAAACACTCCTAACAAACCTGTCCTTTAAAAATGTAAAATAAGGATGTAAGTAAATAGATAATTAACCAAAAAAAGGAATAAGTATGATGTAATTTGGCCAGAAGAGATGAAGAACCCCAGAGCAGTGGTCATTTCTTTTGTAGCTGAGAACTTCACACACAGCCTGTGAGATCCTTGTCCTAAAATACACAGACTCTGAGGCCTGACCACCAGCATTTGAATTCAGATTTTACTACTTACTAGCTGGGTAATCTTGGACAAGTTACTTGACTCTCTTTGTGAACCTTATCTCTTAATAGTAGGAATGATAGGCCCTATTTTTTTGGTCATGTAATAGAGATTAAATGAGTTAATACATGTAAAGTACTTAAATGAATCCTAGCACATGGTAAATTCTACAGAAATACTTTGAAAACAAGAAAAAAAACCCACGAGGAGCAAAGATTCATTTCAAAATAGCTGTAATCATATAAGGTAGGGAGATGTGTGTTTGGTTGCTATGGACCAGGCAGTGGTTGCCATAGATGTCACAGCCATAGCAGCCATTGTGAGGACATAGCCAGACCCCTTATAAGCAGGCCACACGGCCATGTTAAACTGGCTAGAAGGCTAGAAGTCTCAACACCTTCCTCTCACTGGATACATCTCGTGACTTTCATCGAAAAAAGAACCAACTGCTAACCAGATAATTGACCACCTCAAGGTAAGAAAACTGTATCATTATCTACATTCTACAGATAAGAAATCTGAAAATGTTTAAGTGAGTTAGTTAGGGTAACCACTAGAAGCCCTGGAATGAAATGAGGGACCAGTAACCCCTAGTCCAGTCGTTTCCCTCCTTGGTTTTCCTATGTATCTTAGGATAAGTTCTTATAGAATAACTAGTATGAGGCCAGTTTGACCTTTCTTGATGGCACTAAATATTCAGAGAGCCTGAGATCAAGCCAGAAAGTTCTGCCAATTATCAGTAAATAAATCTAAAGCTGCTACCATATCTGTGTCTCAAAGGGCGATGTCTAGCATGGGAGTCAGGCAATCAGGCTCTGATGTTTCATGCTCCAGGTCTTATAAGTTTCAAGTAAAGCCGAGGTAAACCTGGTTTTGATCACAGGTCATGTATGAGGTTTTCCTTTTGTCTGGCACAAGTAACATCCATTCTATAGGAGTCAAATGACTTCCTAGGTTATGAGTTGTGTTCTAAGAAATACAGTAAAATGTGAGTATTTGGGAATGGCAGTCTTCAAATCAATGGATGATTCCACAGAACACAGTTATCCATTGATTAACTGGCACATACACTGTACTCATCGACGGGTTAAGCAAAGCCCATCTGTGTATCAGCCACAGAAATTTGCTAAACCAACAAAGAGCTTCTGCCCAGCTCTGGACTCCAATATAATTAGCCACTTGGGAAGTGTTAATAAAAACAACAGAAAGATACCAGTCTATACCCTCATGGATGGTTATAAATGAAAAGATGACAGCAAGTGTTGGTGAGAATGTGGAGAAATTGGGACACTTCTGTATAGTGGTAGGGAATGTGCAATGTTTTAGTCACTTTGTAAAATGGTCTGGAAGTCTGGAAGTTCCCCAAAAGTTACGTATAGTTATTACATGACCTAGAAATTATACCCCCAGGTATATACTCAAGAGACTTGAAACATGTTCACACAGAAACTTGTACACAAATGTTTACATCAACATGATTCATAAGAACCAAGTAGTTATAATTCAAATTCCATAAACTGATGAATGGGTAAACAAAATGTTGTATACCCATATAATGTAATATTATTTGGCCATAAAAAGGAATGAAGTACAAATTCAAGCTACAATGTGGATGAACACGAAGTGATTGCATAAATTATTCTCTTTATTTAGGCAATCACTTCCAAATATGGCTGTACATTGAATTCATCTGGGAAGCTTATGCAGTTCCTTGGGAATCTCTGAGAATAGACCTGGATTAGTACTTGAAATCTATTAGATTAGATGATCTCTAAGGTCCTTTATGGCTTGAGAAATTGTATGAAATATAGGACAGTTGACTACCAACACCAACATTTTTGAAGCAGAAGCAGTGAAAAAAGAAAGCCCAATAGTTGTTACTTGATAGCCTCCCAATAGTTCCTTCTTGAAATCTAAACTGATTTTTCTCCAATGCCCCCCCCACCCGGTTGAATAAAGATAATCCCAATAGGAATGAACATAATATTATTTAAGGGCTAGCAATGTCTGATGCCATTATGCCTATGTAGGTTGCTTTAACAAGTTATTTCCATTTTTGCAGTAACAAGTCGCTGGATTTGAAGAAAACTGATCCTTCACTCCATAACATCTATAGACAAAGTTTGATGGAGTCAAGTAATGGACTGTAGACAGCCCACAATGGTTGTTAACAACAACAACGTAGCTATAAAATGACTGAAGTTCTTTCACTGATGTTACCAATGGGGGCTGATCTCTTCCTTATTTCATTCCATCAATATTAAAGAACAAAGCTGAAACATGTTTCGGCTACTGACCTCCTGCTGGGCCCGGCTCAAGAAAACAAAAGAGAAACGAAGGTAATATAATTATTTCTCTAGACCTATTCTACCATTTCTTCCACTATAACTGCCTAAAGTTCCTCAAGGGACAAATCTTCATGATTATATATTGATAGGGAAGGTGATTAAGCAGTGTCTACAAAATTGGGAGCAGAGTTGGGGAGGTGGATGAGAAATTGTCATTTCTTTTTTAAAATTAAAGTTTTTCTTACATCATTGTAGTCCCTCATAATTCTCCACCACTAGACCACCCATGAACCATCACCATCTTCCCTTGTGTTCACCCCTCCCCTTCCATAACTTCTCCTGCGTTCCCCACCCCCCCCCAACTTCTACTCCCTCTTCAATGTCTGCCTCAGTTCTATGGCCAGCTTGCTAGTTATTTCTTTTTCTTGATCTTTGTTTTTCTATATTCCACATATAAGTGAGAGCATCTGGTATTTAACTTTTTCCTTCGGACTGATTTCATCTAGTATAATTCCTTCCAGCTCTGGATGAAAAACTCTTTATCAGGGAAGAAAAGCTCTCAGGAAGGTTTGTCACTTTCTACCATTTTGGCCATACCTTTTATGGTAGATATTGGAACTACTACAGGTAGAGCCCCAAACTCCAAGGAAGAGAACTTCTGGTTAAGCCTACGAATTAAAAGTATTTTTAGGTTTTGACTCACTTTTCATTCCATTTCAGGAAAGCATCCATCATTGTCATCAGCTTGGACAACTCCAGTGAAATTTCGGTTACAGATGCTTTCCAACGTTGTAAGTAACTAAAAATCGTTAGATACCAGTTTAAGTCTCCTATGGGTCAGAGACCAATGAAATAATCACTCCTTCCTAGCTTTACTTGAGGGCCCTCAGTTTCCCTCTTTTGAAAGTAAACACTTCCCATCACACACACACACACACACACACACTCACTCACTCACTCACTCACTCTCTTTTGGTGTCAGCTTATTTATAATGTCTGTCAGTCATCTGGTACTTTTATGCGATGTCCTAATTGAAAGTCCTCTCATAGTGTCAGTATGAATGAGCTCAAACTTTATAAAGCACTGCAGTCAATTATGAAGGATGGCAATGTTTGAAAGTGTCTAGTTTCAGAGCTCAAAGAAGAACTTGGTCTAGAAAAGGGAGTCGTGTGGGATGATGAAGAAGTTTAATAACATGAAACTCCTGTGACAGTTAATATAGAGGTTTGGAGCTTGAGAAATGTTGTCAGTTTAGAGATGTGGAAGTTTAATACCATATCTCCAGTTGAATACCTTGACATTACCATATCTCCAGTTGAATACCTTGACATTTCAAGAAGCAGTTACCCAGAATTTCAGGAAGCTGCTCTTTTTGCTATGAAGACCCAGTTAACTACCAGACAATCAATCAAAGAGCTTGGCACAGTGGCTAGGAAAGGATGCCATCCATTGATGTTTATTAAATAAAAGAAAGGGTATGATGTTGCAGCTGGGTTTTACATAACCTGGCAACCCTCAGCAAGTTCTGGAAAGGCCTAACCTGACTCCTCTGCCATTGACCTATTTGAAACCTACATCAATTACCTTGAACTACAGCAACAGCCTGCTGGCTGTTCTAGCCATCTCTGGTTGGCCTCCCTCCCCAGGGCCCCACCCCAGTATTCAGGCCACATAGTTGTCAGAAGGACTTCATGCCACTTCCCTATTCAAAACCATTCAATGCCTCTGCCATAGTCCACTGTGCTCCCTCCCGACTATGGTGGAGGACTGTGGGTCCCTTGGTGGTGGGTGTGGTATGTGAACACCTATCTGAAGTCTGATCCTGTGCCTCTGAATCACATACAGCATTGTAAATCAATGGAGCCAATAAAAATGACTATTTGAGGAGAAAACAAAATGACAAAACCATCAAAAAATTATATAAAAATTTTAAAAAAGTATGCCTCTTTATTGGCACCAAACCAAATTTAACTTCTTGAGCAGCACACTAGGCCCTCCATGATTTGCTCCCTGACTTCTCCAGCTTTATTTCCCATGCTCTCCACAGATGCCCCTGAGAGAGCAAAAACATCATCTGCCATCCCTCCCCCATCATAACTTTTCAGTTCACATGCACGAGCCTTCTGCTCTCATCCCACTGTACCTAGTATTTCATCCCCTCTATTACCTACCTACTTAACCAAAGGCCCTGAGTCACAGTCTAAGGCTGACCTCAGGGAAACCACCCCCCCCCCCAATGCCCAGAACACCTGCCTCCACCCCGCCCCCAACTCTGTGCCTTCCTCACTCATGCACTTACCACAGGTCATTGTGTGACTGCAAGTCCGTCCCCAACACAATCAGCCCCTTGAGGAGAAGTATCGGATTTTTCGTCTCCGTATCTTTAGTCTCTGTGTTTTTAGTCCCCCTCCAGAAGAGCATTCAGTGGATATTTGTGGAATAAAGCTTCTGCCCCATAACACCATTCTCCTCAGGCCACATGTTGCCGCTTTATAACTTCTCCCTCCTTTCTCACAGCTGCTTCCCCACCTCCAATAGTGGCCTCCCCAGGGACCATGTTCGTGGCAACGGCTCAGCTTAATATCCCACATTATAAGCAGCAAACTTGACCCCTTGTTTCTCCCGGTTCTCTGATAGGCAGAGCTGATAGAATGGCAAATAGCCACAGGAAAATCGAGGAAGCGTCAATAGGCTAATTCACAAGAATACTGATCAAAGTGGGGATCGTTTTTAGAACCTCAGCTTGGCCCCATTCCTAGATTGTCATAGTCTGGGTGGTACCTGGAAATCTTTATTTGTGGAACTCAGGTATTTCTGGCAGTCAGCCAGATTTAGGAAACACTAATTTGTAATTAGACACCTGCTCTTTTGTCTCTGGGAATAGTGTCTGCTTTCCTTTCTAATTCCTTGAAGATACAGCCCAGAGTCAAATTTGTTATTGTCTAACTTGCCCAGTACTTGGAAAATAACTTGGGGCTGTTGCATAAAACAGTAGTTAAGTGGTTGTGACTACATTCACAAAGAAGTTGCCAATGACCAAGAAGCAAAGTACTTGTGTGTGTTCTAAATTGTGTGTTGTTCTAAAGAATACCTGCAGCCACCTCTGCTCATGCTGGACTACCATGGCCATGGCCAGGGTAGTAGGCTGTCAGATACCCAACGGGGAATAGCTCCCCTTTCCTGCCCCTCACATGTTTGTGATTGCCAGCTGCAGATAACTACCTAGGAAGGAATTCCAGTTTACAAGTAGCAACTTGAGTGAACATCTAAAGACGCCTGTTATAAAATATGTTGGGACACAGGCCATTATTACTGATGACACTACTCACTGTAACTGTTTTGTCTGGCACAGTCATGTGAGGCAAGAAACCCAAGGGTGAACACAAACAGGTGTCCTAAGTGAGGGCATTTAGAGCAGTGCCTCTCAAACCTGGGGAGTGGCTCAAAATCCCTGATGCTTGAGCCCCACTCCAGATCTAGACAATCAAACCTCCAAAGAATAAGGGCTAATGATGTGGGTTTAAGGACCTCCTCTCTTAGATGATCCTGGAGCACCCGACCAAGAGCCAAGAATCAGAATCAACTGGGAAGACTTCGAGCCAGCCAATCCTGCACACATGCAGATACTCTGGTCTGCAGAGGGCGCATGAAATCAAAATGTTAACAAGCATCCTACACAATGCTGAGGCGCACAGGCATGAGCGTCATGCTCTCAAGGGCTATGGTTCTCAAGTTTCCAAATGCAGAAGAATCAAGGAGGGGTTGGGAAGGAGTTGGTGACTATAGGAGTTTGTTAACTATACAGATGCTTGGATCGCAAGCCTAGCAATTCTGATTCATTTGGTCTAGGGTAGGGCTTAACAACCACACCCATGTAACACTAAAGCAGACAGACTCCAGAGGATGCTTACAAAACACACCGCCAGGGATACAGAGATGAACTAGACTGGTACCTGTCCTCAGGGTGTTTATAAATTAAGAGAGGGAATGAAAGAAGTGGAATTGTCAGGGAACAACTTCTTCTAGGGGGTTGTCAACAAAAATTGAGTGAATAAATAAACAGGGAAAATATTTTGCTCTGACAGGGGAAAAATATAAAGCTTGTCTCAATGCAGGAAACAAGAATTAAAAACTACCTTTAGGGATTTAATCTATTCACTTATTATGTTTTAGTAGTCTAATACAAACAGTAAATATCACATCAAAGTTGTGACTGAAAATTATGTTATCTGAAAACTATAATTAAAAAAGATAATTGAGTAACATGAAAACAGAAGAGGAGTTGCAAGTTCACATTAAAATCTAATGATAATAATGCAGAGATACGTGTATATTTTCAAATATCTGAAAACATTTTACTAACTTCTCCACCAAATGACTCATTCTGGCAATCCCAGAGAAATGTCATAGGTATATCTGAGACTATAAATAAGAAGCTACTGATTCTGGTCTTAGAACTCCCAGGCATGAGTGTAGACAATCTATAAATTCATTTTGCTACTGATGTGGGCAGACAGCTGGGCCAGACTGTCAATTGAGCAGTCTGGAATGTCTATAAATGTGATTGCATTTTGAGCTCCATTTTTTTTTCCATTTGGGATATATCATTTTTTTAAAAATATTTTTATTTTTTACATCATTCTTCATTTTGTGCATTTTTTCATCTCAGTTGTAATCCCCATGGGCTTCCCACCACCAGTTAACCCATGTGCCATCACCACCATCCAGTGCACTCTTCCCACCCCAGTTCTGATCCCATTTCTGATCCCCTTCCACCCCCATAAAATATCACTGGTTTATAGTTCATTGTTTTTATTTTTACTCTACTACCTTTGTTTGTCTCTCCCCTCTGCCACCCCCCCCCATCCCTTATGCTCCTGTTTTGAGTAAAACCACCCAGTATTTTTTTTTCTTTCTGGCTTATTTCACTAAGCATGATCTCTTACAGCTCCATCCATGTTGCTGCAAAAGGCATGAGTTTATCTTTTTGATTGCTTAGTAGTATTCCATTGTGTATATGTACCACATCTTTTTAATCCAGTCATCCATTTTTGGGCATTTGGGTTGATTTCATGACTTCCGTATTGTAAACAGAGCAGCAATAAACATGGAGGTGCAGGTGTCCTTTAGAATCAATATTTTTGCATCCTTTGGGTAGTACCAAGGAGTGGGATTGCTGGATCATATGGAAGCTCTATTTTTAGCCTTTTGAGAAACCTCCAAATAACTTTCCACAATGTTTGTATCAGCTTGCACTCCCACCAGCAGTGCAAGAGAGTTCCTTTTTCTCCACATCCTCGCTAACATTTGTTGTTGCTGGTTGTTTTAATATGTACCATTCTCACTGAGGTGAGGTGATATCTTATTGTGGTTTTAATTTGCATCTCCCTTATTGCAAGTGATGTTGAACATTTTTTCATATGCTTGTTGGCCATCTGCATTTCCTCTTTGGAGAAGTGTCTTTTTAGCTCTTCTGCCCATTTTTTGATGGGGTTGTTCACTTTATTTTTGTTAATTTTCATCAGCTCTTTGTATATTTTTGTGAGAAAATTTTTTTCCCAGTCAATGGGATGTCTGTTTGTTTTTTGTAATCTCTGTTGCTGTACAGAACTCTAACTTGATGTAGTCCCATCTGTTCCCTTCCTTCACTGTCATTGCATTGGGTGATGTATCTTTAAAGATGTTACTGAGGTGTATGCTCTATAGTGTTATGCCCATCTTTGCTTCCAGGTATTTTATGGTTTCCATTCTTATGTCTAGATCTTTAATCCACTTCAAGTTGGTTTTTGTGCATGGTGCAAGGTAGTGATCTAGTTTCATATTTTTTCATGTAGCTTCCCAGTTTTCCCAGCACCATTTGCTGAACAAACTTTCTTTGTTCCACTGTATCTTCTTTGCTCCTTTGTCAAAGATTAGCTGCCCATAAACCTGTGGGTTTATATCTGGGTTTTCTATTCAAATCCACTGGTCTGTATGTCTGTTCTTGTTCCAGTACCATGCAGTTTTGATTATTATGGCTTTGTAGTATAGCTTGAAGTTTAGGGTTATGATGCCCCCATTCTCTTTTTAGTCATTTCATGAGAGTTTGGGTTATTTGAGGTCTTTTGTGGTTCTATGAATCTGAGCAATATTTGTTCTATTTCTTTGAAGAATGTCATTGCGACTTTTATTGGGATAGCATTAAACCTGTAGATAGCTTTTGGTAGGATGGCCATTTTGATAATGTTAATTCTCCTGATCCATGAGCATATGATGTCTTTCCATTTCTTGGTGTCCTCTTATATTTCTTTTAATAGTATTTTGTCGTTTTCTTTGGATAGGTCTTTTACCTCTTTTGTTAGATTGATTCCCAGGTATTTGATTCCTTTGTTTTAATTGAAAAGGGTTTTTTTTTTTTTTAATTTCTGCTTCTTCTGATTGGCTGTTTGTGTATAGGAAGGCCTCTGAATTTTGTGTGTTGATTTTATAACCTGCAAACTTGCTAAACTGGTTAATGGTTTTGAGCATATTTTCTATGGGTTGAGCTCCATTTCTATGGGAGCTAAGTAAGTTTTAGAATGCCCGAGGGGATATTTGAATCCAGCCACAGCTTTGAAAGGGCAAATGTTTCTGAGTTTGCTAAGGTTTGTTGGAGGGGATATAGGGAAGAAGACGTCATACTCTCACCCACAGTCATAGGTACCATAAACATTTATTGAACACTTAGTGCATGTAATATCACACAGAGCCCTACCCTCACAGAGATGATATTTTAGCTGGGGAAATAGGATACACATAGAAAGGGGCGAAGGACAACTTTAGGTAGAAGACCATGTACCCAGTGAGACAGCAAATTGAGAGAGCTGGGTAGGTCAAACAGGCAAAGAAAGTGGTACTGATACTTAAGCTGGACCTTGGAGAGAAGGTAGGAAAGGACCCTCCCTTATTGACTCGTTCACTCATTTATTCACTTATCAAATTCATTCAACATATTGAGCACCTGTGTGTCAGCTGATCCGCTCAGCAACCTGAATATTATGGTGACTAACATGGAAAGGGCTCCTCTCTTGTGGCAGTTTGTAATCCAGATGAGAATCTCATAGACTGTATAACATTGTAATGTGATAGTGGTAAGCCTAGAAGAAAGGTACCTTTTCTTCTGAAAGGACATGGTAGTGTGATTTAGGGTAAACTTTCTAGGGGGGAAACAAAATTTAAATTGATATATTGTTTTAAAAACAACTGGAATTCATCAAGCAAAGCACATTAGGAGTGTTCTAAATAACAGGAATAGTATCTTATGAAGCCCCAGACAAGAGGACATGACATGTGGCAAGGGGGTAAGTCACCCAAGGAGCAGAGGGAGTGAGAGACCGGGTGTGTTCCAGGGATAGTGATCAGGCAAGACACAGGTCTGGCAGGTAGGAAGCAATGGAGTCTGTATTCTGTCCTAGAGCAGCAGGCACCCACTGAAGTGTACTGAGCCAGGAGAGACCATGGGCAAAGTGCCTGTGGAGAAAGGTGAATCTGAATGTGAACAGGATGGCAGGGCCCTCAGTAGGGTTCCCTTCATCCAGTGTTTAGAACAGGTTGTGGGCAAGGTTCAGGCCATTGTTTAACAGATTCTTTGATCTAACTCCATCTCCATGCTCAGCGGTTGCTTCTCCTCTCTCCCTCTATGCATAGTACTCCCCAGAAAACTGAACAGTTACCTGAAATCTGGACGGACTAATGTTCTCCTGGACAACTATGAAGTTTCCATCTATGACCTGAATAGGGACACGAAGGGTCAAGAATTCAGGCCAAACTACTATGCCCAGGCTCAAGGAGTGGTTTTCGTATTGGATATCAGTGACTTAGGACGCCTGCAAGAAGCAAAGACCATCTTAACACGTGTTTTGTCAGAGAAGAGGTTGTCAGGAAAGCCTATCTTACTGTAAGAGTCTATTTTTGGTGCTTAATTTCCCCTTTTAAAGAGAAGTAGAGGAAGAGCTGGATAGCCCCTTTGTCAAGTTCAACTAGAACGCCTCTCCCCTTTGGCTGGCTGAGGAAGTGTAGCCCAATCCTCTAGGGGTACCTTCAAGAGTTACTTTCTACCCCACACTGCCCCAGGGGACATGTCGCTTAGTCACGCAAAGGTGATTTTGATAACAAGCATCAAGGACGAAAGGGCAAGTAAGGCCCAGATCTACCACCACCCGCTTCCACGAGACTTCTTTGCTTTTCTTTTCGAGCTTCAGTCTCTAACCCTGAGATGGTGGCAGGAAAAAAAAATCCCTGTTTTGTATAATCAATGCAGTGTCCCCCAACTTAGCAGTCTGCTTAAGAGTTATGAGACTAGCACTTATTCCAGGGTGGTAATTCAGACTAGCCAACAACCCTCCTCTCTCCCCCACTACCATTTTTCCCCCTCCACTGAAGTATGAACAAATTTGGGAGGGGATATAAAAACTCCAAATTTGTTCATATGCCAGCTAGCAATTCTAATTAAATGTTGATGGCATAATGTAGAGGAAGTGAGAAATGCGGCCTGGGGATTATCTTGGATTCAAATTATTTGTGCCACTCGCTCCTCCATTGAGTGTTGGCTAGAAAAAAATCTAGTTAATCATTGGATACATCTTTCAAGCTAATTCCTTGGTAGGTAACATTTATATTAGAATGGCTTCTCCCTCTTCTCCCCCTTCTTTCTTTGCCCTTGACCCACTTTCTGTTTCAGCATTCTTTCTGCTTTCTCTTTTATGCTCTGCACTAGCTTGGCAAACAAACAACACAAGAGCAGTACCATTTTGCCTTGTGATATGGAACATCTATTCCTGGAAAAACTACTAACAGAGAGCCAGGCATCTTACCGTGTGGTAAGTGTCCCTACCCACACCGTCCTCTAGAACCCAGTTGATGCCTCCCTTAGCCATCACACCACTGGCCCTGAATGCCGGGCCTGGGACAAAACCTCTCCCCACCAGGCGATATCTCCAGTGATCATTTCTGGCTCGATGGTAATAATAAGTATCACATACTTATAACACTTTCACATCTTTTTTACTCATTAAGGCTTCAGAAGAGTCTTGAAAAGTTGGAAATTTTAATGTCTTCATTTCATGGGCAATAAAGCCAAGAGATTCTGAGGCACTCTCTCAAGGTCACACATTTAAGATAAGACACCATCACTTGATTAAAGGGCCTTGGCTTTTGGATCTTTCATTTACATTCACAGGTGTGAATGTTCACTGTCTCCTAGGAAGTCTTAAGAAATACTCTAGGCCCAGCAGAACTTATGTGAACTTCTCTTTTTTGCGTAAGACTTGGGAATGTGGGCCCCAGGGGTTCCCAAACTCATGAGCTGGGGCCTTCTCTTCTCTTTTTCTCATAGGAACCTTGTTCATTAACTAAAAACATGTCCAAGAAGGACCAGCAGTCCATAGTTGAAGGTCTGCGTTGGCTGTTGAATGCCATTGAGAATAAATCTGCAGAGCTGTCCACATCATCACAGCCTGTCATCGCAAGCACCTCAACTGCTAGGAACATCAGAACATCTGGTGAAGGATGCTCGTCAGAGAGGTAATGTACTACCTCGATTATGTATACTGATAAGATTAGAGGCAGGAGTTTGTTTTTGACATAAGCAGGGAGCTCTGAGAGGTGCTGGGATTCTATAGTGCTGAGCAACACTCTCAAGATGCACTGGCCCAAATGGGACTTGGGCAGTGAGCACAAACTTTCCACATTGTTAACTACAAACCTCCCTCCCTCCACCCCTAGCACAATAGGGGTGGCCATGTCAGTGGGGTGAGTTGCAGAAATGTAAGGCTATTGGTATTAGCACCTATGCAAAACAAGTTTCCTACTCCCCATTTTAACAAGGAAAAAAGGAATGTGAGTCCCTCGAACTTATTAATATTCTATGGATGAATGTCCTGGAGCCACTCCACATTCACTCCTCTAGCTCTCTAGTTCTCTGATCCTGCCAGTCAGGAAAGATGGGAGAATAAAGGAAGATGGAAAAGTGCTAACAGGAGGTGACCATGGCTTTCAACAGTAAAAGAATGTCCTTTCTGTTCTCCTTTTCGTTGGCAATAGCGTATGATGCAGACTGGGTAAGAGCTGCAGTCAGTCAAGGAGCTTGAAGTGTGTCTTCTCACTATGGCTCTGTCCTTTCTATCTTCCCCAGCTTCACTGCCGGGTTTGGAGTATCCAACGAGAACTTACACCTTGCAGGACAACAGTCAGTGGAAGCTAAACCCCTAAAGTCAATCTTACAGGTAAACAGCTACTGGTGGTGACTGTTACTGCACAGGAACCACTCAGTGGCACCAACTGACTTTTGCCCCCTTTGTCTCCTTGCTGTACAGAAAGAAGGAGTCAGGTTGAGGCCGAAAAAGAATGTATCCGTGACATTTGTTTTAGATGGAGTCATAGAGAGAGGTGGACGTTCTAAAGGAAGAGGAGTTTCCAACTCTGTCCACTTTTGCCGCAGTCAGACCAGTAACCCATCTCCACGTGCTGCTGCTGTGGCTCATCCTCCCAAAGGTGATGCTGAGTCAGTGGTTAGCAGGGAAGAACAGATAGATAGGCCTTCCCTCACAATTTATTTGTTTTTAAGATTTTTTTATTTTATTTATGCATACACGAACTGACGTGTAGCCCAGAGGTACAGGGGGTGAGAGGCTTCAGCAGAGTGGGGAGCAGAACAGGCTAATCGATGAAGTACACTGCTGAGGGGAGCAGCGGGCGAGACAAGAGAGGTCTGCTCCCAACCCCGTGCACCACCAGGCCTTTCCTCACAATGTATAAAGCAGTATTATTATTTTGAGTTTGAAACTCTTTACTCCTACCGTGGCTGATGGTCAGAGATGGTGTGGAAGTGCAGGAAACATGCTTGGGAACCACTTTCTCGTAACCCAGGGTGATGTCCCAGCACTGGGTCACCAAGATCTTTGAATGACGATAGGGTAATGATAAAGGTTGTGATTTCCAACGTGGAAGCACAAATTCTGACAGGCTTTATAGAGTGTAGTTTAGTTGTCTCTCCTTTCTTCCGAGTGAGAGAGAGGGGAAACTTTAAAATGAAGGAAACCGTTTAAGCCAAACATCTCACATCTTGAACTATATGTGAAGATAATGACACAAATACAGAGAAAAAGGATGTTCATGGCTGTTCAATCACAGCATTGTGTGCAATAGCTAAAACTTAGAAACAGTCTAAATGTTCAGCAATGGGGAATGACTAAATAAATTATGGCGCATCCACATAACCAAGTACTATGCAAACCTGCAAAGCACGGATGGTTAGTTATATTTACTGACAGGGGAAGTTTCCCACAGCTGGTATTTTATTAGAAAAAGTAGTCAACCAGAGTACAACTCGCATATCATGATGTGTGTACATTCATAGCATATCCAGAGGAAAATCACCAAAACATTAGTAGTCGTGATTTCTTCAGTGGTAATATTCTAGATGATATTGAGAAAAGGCCCAGGTACTTTCTTCAGATTTTTGTTATATTTTTTATTTTACATACTTCTCATTTCTCCTTACAATAAAGGTCACTCCTCTGTGTCCCTTAGGCCCCAGGGACTTTCAGCTGTTAATAATATGTCACCTCTGCTCTTCAAGGTGTCTGGCTCTTCCACTTGCCCCGGGGGCCTTACTTTGTTGTACCCGAATGGAGGTATCTGGACTTGGCCACAGTCACTGAGGAGGAGAAAGACACTGATCTGGGGATAAGGGGAGGATGAGAGTTCAGTAGAAGGAATCTAGCTAATAAGAGGGAAGGGAGTGTTTTTCTAGGTGTGAGAAACTTTCCCTAAATATCTGCTCAAAACTCAAATACATGTCTCACCTCTATCACCTCAGAGCCTAGGAGAAGAATGACATTGGATACCTGTGTTGTGGAGGAGACACCGGAAAGTCCCTTAGAAGAAGGCTTTGAGTCTTCTGGTTAGTATGTCTTAAATGAAGCAGCAATGTGGAAGGGCAAAAGTAAAAGAAAGTAGAGGGCCAGGGCAGAGGGAGGATGCCTTGTGGGGGGTGTAGTCTATACCTCTTTAGAGAATGGGCAACACCCTCTTAACCTGAAGTTATCTAGGCAGGACAGGAAACTGGTGCTTAGCTTCACTTGTAGTGACTGGCTCTTTTCTTTCTCTTGTTAGACAAATAACAGGTTACTAAAGAGAGAAATGAAAATAACATCTAGTATCCTCCCATCGTAACTGCTCTCATCTCCAGATCCAGCAGGCCACTCGGCTTTTTGATTTTAATTTGCCAACATCTCAACAGTACCCATGCAACTCCACTTTGATATCACATCTCTGAGAACTTCCCTCACTCCGAAACATCGACATTGCAAACATTCACATGACTCTTAACACCTAATCGCCTTCTAGCCATTACATAAATACTGTACCTTTTAAGAGTACTTTGCTAGCCTTTATGAGAATGAAGACCTCAATGAAGAAGCAGAACTTTTACATCCTCACACTCAGACGTATTTGATGAACAAAATGTGAGCAGCCTGCGAACAACATGTACATAACCAACTGAGATTGAGCCTTAGAGATATGGGGTCGCGTAGAAACTACATTAAGGCTCTTGGGTGTTAGAGGGCTAGCAAAAAATAAATGGAACTCTTCTGACAATTATGCTTGACTGAATCGTTTTTATTCATACCTTCAAATATTTGAATTCCTAGACATTGACTGGGAAGCCTAGCAACAATTTCTTTCTTGTCCCATCAGCATCAACAAGGGTTGGCTCTGCTAAGATTTTAGTTTGGTATGCAACACCTGTAGATGCGTGACACCTTCAACCCGCCATCCCCAGGGTGACAGTGGGAATAACAGTAATAGCTTAGGACTATTACTTGCACCATCAGTTCCATAACCACCATTGATTGCCTTCTGGACAGGCAGATATAGCACTTGGGTCACACTCATCTGATTCACAACCACCTTTTGGGGTACAGACTGTACCTGACTGCATTTCACAGCTTAGGGAACTAAAGGGCCCATAACCTGGAAGAACAGCACAGGAAATTTATCTTACTCTTGAGCTGCTTTAGGCCACAAAGATTTGTTTATGCTTTCCTCAAACTCCACCCAGAACGAAAAAGCTGTCTCCAGGAAAAATGCTGGAGCTCAGCCATGCCTATGTCAGGAAAATTACACTGATAGAAATAAGCTTGTCAGTAGTAGTAGCAGACATGGTTGACTGAGCACTTCCACTCTGCCAGGTGTTAGGCTAAGTGCCTTACATACATTATTGCTTTCCTCTTCCCGAGCCTACAAGGTTGGTTCTACTATCATCATCTTACAGAGACAGCAAGTGATGTTTGGAGAGGGTATATTATGCGTGCCCCTAAGAAGCAGCAGAACTGGTTTTCAAAGGAAGGTCCGACTGTGTAACTCATGCTCTTAACTCCTACCCTACACTTTATAACCCAAGTAGACTATAATTGTTTTGAGGGATAGAAACTACACAGAAAGCTCAGTCTTACAACCCCATTTGGAGGGTCTGACGCTGGCTATGATACATTGTGTATGGCCTTAACTCCAAGGGAACCAGCCCATTAGCTTGTGGGCCTTTGAGAAGATTCTGAATGAGGTTCATCTTATTAGTCATGAGGCTGGGAGGAAGCTTACACCCTCAGTTGTAATCCTTGTTGTTAAATGTATGAGGACCTTGGGGGTACAGGGAGTTTGACTTACCCAAGACTGTACAACTGATCACTGACAGGATACTCCTAACATCCAGCTCCCCTGCACGTCCTGGACAGTCCTCTCCTTGTCTAAAAATACTACATTCTCTTAGGTCTTTTCTGGCCATTCTCCATCCATCACCTCCGTCTCCACCATGTTGGGGAGCCATACCAGACCAGGCAGGTTCAGTGTCGATTCAGGCAGACAGAAGAGAGTCCTGGAGACTTCAATAGATTTGACAGGCGTTTTAATGCTGAAGCAGAGAAACAGGTACCACAGGTGGACCAGCAGGGAGGCCAGGACACAGGTAGCAAAGAAGCTCCCACCCCCATGATCTCTGCTCTCTTTTCTCTCTGGCATTCTCTCTCAGTCTCCCTCTATCTCATCTCACCTTGCTGTAGAGTGATGTCACCATGAGTGCCAGAGCTGAGGAGTCCCTCTTATCCTTGCTTCTAGACCCAGGTGTCTGCAAGTACAGATGTGCACACCACAGGCTCTGGCTTCTTGATGCAGGTAGCCACATCACAGGCACGCGTGCGGCTGCAGGCTCACAGCGCTCAGACCCAGGTGTCTGTGTCCATGCTCCTAAATGCTTCTTGAACACACATGATATCAATGTGGACAATGAAACCGAGGAGAAAAGCAAGTGTGTAGGCACAGCCAGAGAGGCCAGTGATGGGAAGGCAGAGAAAAAGCCTGCGCCACTCCATTTCCCTCCGCACAAATTTGCCCACTAACTAATAGTGGAAAATTCTGCTGACAGTCATTCTCACCCAGCGAGTGCCTCTACCGAGCAAATGTTTTATCAGGCAGGAGACTGTAAACTCACGTTCATAGGAAAAGTGGATCATCCACATTTCTCTTTATGGCACGTGTGCTTATGAGGCAAGCACACTTTCAGTCAAGAGGGAAGGGGAAGGGTGGCGAGAAGGGGTGGGGGTGTAACCTGTGAGGGTGGGCAGGGTGGGGAATTTAACAGAACTGAATTTCAGTTGTGTGCAGTGTATGTGTTCCTGGGTGTCAGTCATATTTTTCCTACATAGACTATTGTTCCTCCCTAATTTAGCCAGCATACCCTTATTTCTATAAAGGAAAACATTCTATTTTAAAATGGAATCTTAATATGGTTGCTGCAGGCTGTTACTTCAAACCCCTTAGCATGCTGGGTAACTTGCCAATTTCCCCCAGCAGAGACAGGGATAGGAGTACCTACCTCACAAGTGGTTGGGAGGATCAAAAGGGACAATCTTATATAAAACCCCTAAGCATAGTGCCTGGCACATAACAAAGAAGCTCATTAAGTCTTAGCTGCTACTATTATGACTAGGGGAGCGGCTTAGTTAGATAGTCTTTAGAGAGCTATTGTTAAGGGGAAGGATGTCCTAAAGGAACTCTGCAGTCTTATGGACTCCACCCCCTACTCCAGCTTTCTGGACACTATCCCCTACTCCAATGATTAGAAGGAATTCTGGGACATTTTGGGAGAATAAATAGGGTGAGATTGCATCTCGCTCTTTCGCTCATGAAGCAGCTCTCCCGACCTCGTGACTCAGTATGTTCAGTCAGCCTAGCCGTAAGGTATTCCAGTTACTTTGTACCCTGCTCTCTTTCCCTGGGCTGTTTCCTATTCCTTTCCCCTTTTGTAAATAAACCCGTTATTGACCCTTTTGTGTGTACCTGCAGTATAACCGAATTGTGAGCGTGCGGGTGAGGCCCCACAGACAGATGGCCCAGTCCACTCTGGGCTACCCTGTAACACTACTACCCACATCCCTTCTGGGACAGGGATCCTCTTTTCTGCAGAGAGTAACTCAAAGATCAAGGTCTTCAATTCTAAAGAACAAAAAACAGAGAATCTAGTGTTACTATAACCACGGCCAAATATTGGCTCTCCCATCTTTGAGAATCCTAAATCTGCCAAAGAAGTCTTAAAAATCTATGTGGCAGCCCAGGGGCCAAGATCAGGGACAATGTTTTGGGTTTAGAGGGTGTTGGGGAAGGCAATCAAGAGAATGTGACCACCTACCTGTTGATCCACGAGCTGAATCCCAGCAAATGGAGGCTTTTCACTACCTCCCTGATTCTTGAAATGTGTGTTCCCCTTGCCTTCCTGGCTCCCAGAAACTACTCAAGGATACATCTCTGAGATTAAAAAAAAGTTCTGGCCCTCCCTGGTGGCGCAGCGGGTTAAAGCACAGCATTGAGAATCTAAAGCCACTTCTGCATGAGTTCGATTCCCGCCCGCCCCGGAGGTGACCACATGGCGCTGCGGACCTCTCCTGACCCGCCCGCTGCTCCCCTCAGCAGTGTACTTCGTCGATCTGCCTGTTCTGCTCCCGCTCAGTCTCTGGTGAAGCCTCTCACCCTCCGCATCTCTGACCTGTACCCCAGTTCTGTATGAATAAATAAATAATAAAAAAAAAGTTCTGTTAAGACCATTTGGATAGTATATGTGATTAAAGGCAGTAAAGGTTACATATAAATTTTTAAAACTTGGTGGATAGGTGCAGAAAACTCTCTCGTCTTACAGCTGCCCAAGACAAAGCCTCCTAAGTAAGTTCCCTTGGTTATTAAAATTGCCATATGCCAATATGAGTGATCTGCTTTTTTCTTCAGTCTTTCCTTGCCCTGTGTATTTGTATGTGCAGGGGGCAGGACAGGGAACTTCAGATTATACCTGAGATGTTCCTGAGTTTGTGACCCAACAGAGGGAAAATATTCTTTCAGAAAGTGGTTGCCTGAAGTCTCGCTCCATCCACTGTCAACGTCCTAGCCAGGACTTTCAAGAGGCCGGCTCCTGTTGGAGACACTACAGGCATATGACTGTGGCCCATAAGTCCACAAGTCCATGTGGCTCTGGGTACTTTTCCATTTTACCTTACAAGACAGTTCTAGGATTTCCGACTAGAGAATTCAATATGAAAGGTACAGGGGTCCCTCTGCTCTGAATGGTTTGCAGTTCCTGAGGTTTGGTTACCAATCTTGATCTGATTGGTGCCTATCAGAGCACACTACCAGCAGGTCTGGTGACCTGCAGAACATGGGCTAATTGATAGAAAGGAAGCATTAAGGGAGAAGAATGATAGTTTAAGGCAGGAGTATGGAGTCCCACCAGTCTAGCTATGAATTATAGAAATTTGAACATTTGGTGCTTAAGCCACACCACATGTATGTTTTTAGGATTTATTTATTTATGTGTATAAGAACTGGGGTGGTGGTGAGAGGATTCACCAGAGACAGAATAGGGAGCGGAACAGGCAGATTGAAATACACAGTTGAGGGGAACAGCGGGCGAGGCAGGAGAAGTCACCTCCCTGGCCGGGGATCGAACTCATGCTTCATTGGCTGTGGACAGCTTCATAATGCTGGGACTTAACCTGTTGCATCACCAGGAAGGCCCACCACTTATATTTTGAATACTACTCTTTCCTCCTAGGAAGTAACTAGAATCACTAGTTTTCAAGGCAGTAGTTTCTGGCGAGACTTCCTCGAGTGTACTGAACACAACAGCACTTCTCAGGAAAAAACAGCCAGCTAGCATTCTGTGCTATAAAATGTCTGTGGCCACAGGTGGGGTGGAAATCAAGCCTAGACTCACTGCTTTGTCACTCACCCCTGTCAAGTATGCTGGATTGCCCAAACTTGGTTCTCTAACACGAAAGGAGTAAGAGCTATCACCGGACTTTTCAGGACTTGAAATCATCCGGTCGCTCCACTACATATTCAGTCACCTGAAAAAAACTAGCTCTGGCACTCCTGACCGATGCCTTAGCCCTTTAGCTAGAATGATCCATTCTCCCACTCCCTTTGTCTTTTCTGTCATAACTATCTGTGTGGAAAATGCAGGTGGAGCTATAATCCCAGGACAGAGAGAAAGCAGCAAGAACTTCCTGTGGCTGGCACGGAGATAGTATCAGCTGGGACTTGTGAGAGTTCGGAAGGCTTGGACTTCCGCCTCTGTGCCCATGAAGTGCCCGGCTGAAGTCCAGGGAGCCCGGGAGGATCTGCTGTCAGGTGGTGGGCAGAGCTATGTTAACAACACACTCAAACTGTGCCTTGCGATGATGACTCAGGAATCCCACGCGATCCCACACTCATGCTAGTCATCACTTCCAGAAACAAAAATAGACCTCTGGGGCTAAGAGACAGCAGTCCTTTTATATCTGCTCAGAAAAACGAGCCCAGTGCTAAGAACATTCATGCTGTTCCATACAATGGAATGTTACATAGCCATTAAAGATGAGAATTATACATACTATGCACGTGGGAACCAGAATGTGAGATAATGTGAAGCTGAAACAGCAGAATGCACGTGCCGATGGGAACTATGGGAATCATACTCGGGGATGTTCATCCCGAAAGAACCTACAAAAATGAAGAGTGCCAGAGTCCTACCAGATCCATTCCCTTCTCCTAACACCTTTCACTTTAATCCATTTGTTTTTCATTGTCCTCCTGATCACACTAGGTGGCAGAGACACTTGCATTTTAGCTGACACAAGAGTTAGCCCCACAAATCATTTGACTCAGAAATAAAGAACTGAGTGCTAAGGGTCTAGTGTTTTCAGGGTGCTTGGGTCTCTCCTTTACCCCTTCCTGTCTCCTATTCAGCACTATGATGAGAAGTTCCTCCCAGACGTCCAGTTGATCAAATAACAGTAAGGGGGCACTTAAGGTATTTGGGGACTCCACATAGATTCACTGCAGAGACTCATCCCTGGCCTTTCAGGGGCTCTAAGCCCAAAGCCTCTCTCAAACCATGTTCCTCTTGATCCCTGGTCAGGCCAAGAAACATCCTAGGTCTTTAACTTGAAGGACGTCCTGGAGCAGAACTGTATGTCATGTTACTGGCTTTGTTCAATCTCGATGTCAGTTAGGACAGGAAGAAAAACCTAGACCCTGGAACAAACTAGGTCCCAAGGACCAGCTCAAGGTCTACTCAGTGAATGTAGATGACAGCAAATTGAAGAAAGAAGGTCAACTTCTAAATGAAATATTTCATTATAAAGCTGCTTAAAATGAAGGGCTTCCAGAAGCCATGTGCACGATTTCCCACTTAACCAGGAAATACTTTCACTCTAAATGCATGAAAACATGTAGTTATAGTTGGAAGTTACACTGATTAATAAATATCTGAAACTTGAAAATAAAACCTTATTTAGACATTTTTAAGTCGGGCTGCTGTGTTTTGAATGAGGCTAGTTTATACCAAGGAAGTGGATTTTTTTGACAGACTACCAGAAATTCCTCATAAAAGAACCACTACATGCTATCTCTTACTCCTTGTCACCTTGTTTGGGATAGCGCCTAGCACATGGCTGGGTAGTTGAATGAGTGAAATTCTCTCCCTGAAGCTCTACGCTCAGCACCTGCCCAGACGCAGGTTTCTAGAATTAACGTTCAATCGGTATGTTTACTTTTTTAAGTGTTTAGATTTTTTTTTTTTAAGATTTATTTATTTGTGCATACAGAACTGGGGTACAGGCCAGAGGCTCAGGGGCGGTGAAAGACTTCACCAGAGACAGAGCGGGGAGCAGAACAGGCTGATCGACGAAGTCCACTGCTGAGGGGAGCAGCGGGCGGGTCAGGAGAGGTCTGCCACGCCATGTGGTCACCTCCGGGGCAGGCGGGAATCGAACTCATGCGGAAGTGGCTTTAGCTTCTTAGGGCTGTGCTTTAACCCACTGCGCCACCAGGGAGGGCCATGTTTAGATTTTTTAATTTGTATTTTGAAGTGATTTTAGACCTGTAAATATAGTTCACAGTGTTCCTGTATATCCTTTATCCAGCTTTCCCTAACGCAAACCTCTCACATAACTGAGTCACTATGACACTAACATCAGCACAATACTATTTACTAAACTACAGACTTGATTTCCAATTTCACCAGTGTTTCCTTTAATGTCCTTTTCCTGGCCAGGATCCTGATCCCATGCCACATTTATGGTATGTTTGGTTTAAAAAAAAAATCACCCCAGAAACAAGTTTCCTTTTAGGAGGTAGAAAAAGCAAGCCAGTAGCTGCTTTGGGAGTTTTATCTTCCTGAGCTATTGTACCCTAAAAAGAACTCCACCACTTCTGTATCAAAGCCCCTAATTCATGTCACCTCATCGTGGTTATTTTCAGAAAACACGTTTTACATCACTTCTCACAGTAGTCAAAGGGATTTGACAAGTGGGTTATTTTAGCAACCAATATTATGAAAGTGACAAAATGAGAGGGATGGCCTTCCCTATCTGTTTTCTGTTTCTTTTTCTTAAAACTGTATTTAAACTTTGTACTAGAAGCTGTGATGTTTGACTTTAACATAGGTGCCGAGAAACACATACACAGTGATGAAGAAAGGATTCTTTTCTATGCACATTTGATTTTGTTTGCCTAAAACACATATTGAACTCTTACAGAAAGCAAACTGATTGGGTTATTTTTGCGAGTTCATCTCAAAGTGGGAAAGGAAAGCAGGCTATGACATCCATTTCTTCCTTCAACAAATAATCAGATTATTAAAAAATATCTCCCATTTAACTTGCACTAAGTACAAGTTAGTTTGCAAAGTGCTTCAGTTATATAGTTTCACTAACTCAGTCACAACAATCCCATGAGGTAAGTGCTATTACGATTACTATCTTTTACAGGAAGAGGGCCAGGGAAAAGAGGGCTGAGAGGTTTGGGAACTTTCCCAAGTTCACACAGCATGTAAGCAATAGAACCGGGATTGGAGACCAGGTCAGCCTGGTTCCAAAGTTGGTCCTCTTGGCCAGTATGCTATATAGTCTCTTTGAGCACGTGCCCCATTTCCGACACTGTGCTGGGTGACAGACAGATACAACAGTGGACAGGATAATAGCCCTATTCCTTCAAGCCTTACAATCCAGTTGGAGAAGAGAGACCCTTAAACAGCCAAGTATAACACAGGTATGACTTGGATTGGTTTTAACTTAAGGTGATCAGTAGATGCAATTTGTGAATGCCAACACCTTTAAATATTTATTTTTTTAAAAAAGATTTATTTATCTATGCATACAGAACTGGGGCACAGGCCAGAGGCAGGATTCACCAGAGACAGAGTGGGGAACAGAACAGGCAAATTGACTGAAATACATAGCCGAGGGAAACAGCCGGTGAGGCAAGGGAGGTCTGCTGTGCCATGTGGGTCACCTCCCTGGCCGGGAATCAAACTCATGAAGTGGCTGTGGCTATCTTCATAGTGCTGTGCCCTCTGTGCCACCAGGAAGGGCCCTCACCTTTAAATATTTAGATTCCTGTTTTACATCCTCAGAGTCAAGGCCGCTTCCTGTATGTATCCTCGGGAGCCCTACCTGTTAGGAATGGACTTTGAATATTGACATGTTCTCCATCATATAGGTCTTGGCTATATGTTTGATTCCACCCACTTAGTCTCCTTTGAGGAGAAGCGATAGGCATTAGTGTGGAAATACATATAATGATGGAAACTAATCATTTGCTGGAAAGTTTGTTAAATCTGGGACATCATCTTAACAATATGTTACAGGGCAGGGAGAGAGGGGTACCCCTGAAGCCCCAAATCTGCCTGCTCTTGTTATAGAGCAGGGAGAGAGGGGCACCACTGAACCCCCAAACCTGCCTGCTCCAAATAGGTTCTACCATCCACTACATCAAGACAAAACATGTAAGACTTTAATGAAAAGGGACTTTAATACAGTGAGTATACAACACAGAAGACAAATAATATAATTTCTATATCAAACACCTGAAGCTACCCATCCCCTCATGGGCAAAAGTCCACCCAAAAGGGACTGGCACAAACAAGGCCTGAAAGCCCACCGCAAGACTAAAGCACCTTCTGGTCGGGACCAACAGAACAGAGTCAGAAATGGCCAGACAAGTCTGGGAGAAAAAGAGCAAAATCAAAATCAATATAAACGCTGCCATAGTCAACCTCCCCACGGGTCTCTCACCCACATCTCTTTCAACCAGTCCAGAGCCAGGAAACAAGCACAGTTTCTTCACATGTCTCCTTTGCTCCATGTGACTTCCTCTGGCCTCCTTCTGGCTCTCCATCTGGTTTCCTTCCTCCCTCAAAGTCCTTTTCTTCTCTCCTTTTCTCTGCTCAGCTCCACCCTCCTTGTGGGTGGGGCAGGGAACCTGGAACTTCCCCTTTTCGTAGGGGCCACCCTGTTATAATTTCACTTCAACTATCTTTCTGCACTTGGATTAATTGGTTAGGGCAGAGGTAGCACCAGTTCGTTCGTGACTGCACTACAGTTATACCAACTTGAAATATATGACGATCCTGTAAATTGTAAATTGGTAATATGATTTTGAAGATGAGAGGTAAAAAGACTTAAAAATGTCAGCCACAGACAATCATTCTTTTCCCTCTTCCAACCCCAAACCATTCCAGAGACTTAACTCTGTGGTTCTCAACACTGGCTAGACATTGGCATCACTGGAGAAACTTCAAAACTACCAAAAGCCTGTGCATCACTCCCAGAGATGACTGAATTGCTCTGGAGACCCATACATATGTGGCCCAGACATGTGAAAACATTTTTTTTTCAAACTCCTAGTTATTTTAATGTGCAATCAAGTCTGGGGAGAACTACTAGATAAAACCCCAAACCTGCAAGGAAAACAACAAATTTTTCACCCCCAGTTTTGCCAACTCTAAGATGGGCTTAATGAGAAACCAGTTCTGGAAGACAGGCAAGGAGCAGGCTGCAGACCAACTCCTAAAACTGTCCTACTTGGCTAGTGTTACTGGTCATTTCTAAGCACCTCTCTCTATCATGCCAGCCAAAATAATTGCAGAAGGAATGAGAAAGGAAATGCTTTTAAAGATGAAAAACTCTGCAAAGGCCTGCAGAAAATTTGCCTCCTCCTAGTCAAGGAGGCAGAAAAGGAAGTTATTTGGCAGCTATATTGCCCAACTAGTTTTTTACTTGCAATGTGATGTGCACTTTTAGTCACTGAGTCAAACACCGGACTTGGAGGCAAATC